ACAAATGGTGCTTGCGGTCTGGGTGCTTGCAGACATCGTGGAGTTCTTGAGGAACCTGTAGAAACTGTGCAGGGAAACCTCAAGGACATGAGGTCCATCGAAAATCAAGCACCCCATGCCATGCTCGTGCCCCCAACCCCTGGCACCCCAAGGGGGGTTGTGCTGCACATCCTCAGCACGGCAGCAGCTGGAGCCGCATCTCACCGCGGCTGGGGGGCAAACCAGCAGTGCTCAGCGTGCCCGGCGGCGGTCGGAGTCTCAGCACTGAGCCGGTTAATAAGCACTTTTAGGAATATCGTTGTTTTACAGCATCACCTCTAATTTTAGCTTCATCCAAGAAGCGTCTTGTTCTTACTGACCTGGGGGCATTTGTCGGGTGAGTTAGACAAACCCATCAGGCTGCAGTCATGTGTCTGCGCTGTGCTGCTGACAGCAAGGATGGCTTTACAGCAGGGAGCACCGTTCAGGTACGGGCTTCATTGCAGCCTCTGCCTGACCTCCTCTTCCTCTCTCAATCTCCCTCACCTCTTTGGGCTGAAAACCTTTTTTACTGCAGTCACCGAGCACAGACACCCTGCTCCCCACTGGGTGCCATCATGCAGGTGACACCCCCAAAGGGCTCTGTCCTTGCCAGTGGGAGCAATTATACCTCCACTAAAGATGGCACAGAAATGCCATTAATTTATTCTTGTAGCCAAAACCAGCCTCCTACCCTGCCCCAAGAGCATCACCCTGGAATAAAACAGGCTCGGAGTGATACTCGAAATTGCTTCTCCCTCGTCTTAATTCCTGCAAGAACTATTGCAGTGTTACTCACCCTTGTGTCCAAGAAGGGTTTGCAGAGGATGGGTCTCCTGTAGTGATCCAAAAAGTTGGGAAGCTCTTTTATATCTGTGTGAGGTCCTCTTTCATCAGAGACAGTGACACACCTGCTGCCAGCAAGAGCCTGAGTTAGCATTTCCTGGAAATTGCAAGGTGGGAACTTCTGAACCCCTCCCTGTCTCATACCTGTGCACATAGTTCCTGGCTGCACCCACCAGCCTTTGGAAATGTCGTCCTTTCACCTCACTGTCACCTCTGATGGCACGAAGAAGCTTGTGTGATGGTCAAAAAGTGGGAAAAACATTGGATGCGCCATCATGCCACAATGGGAGCGTGAAGGGCAAGTCTGTCTTGGCAGAACTTGCCAAAACTGTGCAGGTTTTGCAATGTGCTGGAAATTTTGCATGTGCTCATGCCAGTGTGGAAGAGTGATGGGTTATTTTGGAGAGATATGGATAACTTTTTGGTTGTCTCCCATGGGATCCCTGTTTTCTACTGGTTGAACGCCAGCAAAGATGGAGGCAGCATCCATCTTCCAATAAATTGTTTTCCAGATTATTTTCCATTACTATCTGTTTTCACACCACTTGTACCAGACCTTTCCTTTTGCTCCAGAAACTTGGTGGAGGAAACGGGGTATAAAACAAGAAACTTTGAGGTCAAGGTCTCTATGGGCTGAAGCATGAACTAGCAAGTGTTTTGCAACTGTCACCTCCGTGCCACCCATCTTGCGTTAGCAGAACAGGTACTAGAAGAATGAAGAGACTATAAAAAGATGCAAAAATAAGACAATAGGTTCCAGGAAGAGGGTAGGAACTGAAAAACAAAAGGGTTACCATTCCTGTTTGAAGATTCTTCTTGTGTGTCTCAGGGGCAATATCGGGAACTGTTGCGTGAGTTTTTTTCCGGTATCCCTGACTCACTTTATTGCTTTTTTTTTTTTTTTTTGGCTTTCCCGCTCTGCTCAATTAGGGATGGTTGATAATCCAAAACTGCATCCTCATTCCACAACCAGCCTTGTAAAGCATCAGCCGAGGCTGGTTTTTTTGCCTTGCGCACTTGCGTCGTCCCCACGCAGACAGATCTGTGGGCTCAGAATTCTCGTCTTTCCTAGTGATCTTCCCCAGAACTCATGGGGGAGGTAGATTGTGGTGCCCGGACCCTCAAGGGGAGCGATGCCCAAATGATACCCAAGTGTCACCTCTGGGGGACAAGGGCTGCTCCCCAATGGCAAAATCGTGTACCCAAAGAGTGATCGCCTGTGTCATTGAGGGCAAGTAACCACGCAATAGTCCCAGGCTTCCTTTTGCTCTTGGTTTCAAACAGGATGGGATTATGGTTTCGGTTGATGTTGGAAACGTCGGAGCCTCCTGAGCCTGAGGGTTTCCCACTCAGTGCAGCGTCACTGGCTCTTTCCATTCACGTATCTGCTCCCCAGGAGCCCGTGGTGGCTCGTAAATGTGCCGTGACCTGGGGGGCTGTTGCCCCACGCTAACAAAAACATCCGGCTTTATCGTGCTCTCCGGAGCCCCTTGGCCTCGTTCGTTGTTGTGTCGGGGCTTGCAAGATAATCTCTGCTTTATGGGTTGCAAAAGCATCGTATACACCCCAAGGACACTGAACCCCAAGGACACTGCACCCCACGGACAAGACCTGGGTCTTGGCAGCCACGTGGGGAAGCAGCCCCCAGTTGTTCTCCACCCCTGATGTGTCCTGGAGCTGGTGCAAAGAGGGGTCAGAGAACCAGGGCTGAGGACTCTTGTGCTCCCACCCAGAACCTCCCCAGCCCAATGGGGTGTTACGCACCCCGCAGTCTGCTTAGGTGGAGTGTGTGAGGTCAACCAC